TAAATATGCGATTATTGATAGCAATATCTCTATTCCAAATGCACTTCAACTCCATAAATATAAATATTAACTTAAAGTGTGCATAAATCTACTGTACGGCACCGCCAATTAATAGCAATTATTATGTATTTTCTAGATTTATAATGTCGTTAATTAACAAACAGTTATCGCGATTGCATTATATATTCACAGTGTTTTGTGGGCTTAATAGCTGTATTGATATACACTAGCAATTTATTTGATTAATATACGGATCATTACAATAGGTTTGCCATTATTTTCATTACGTTTTCGGCAAACGTATCGCTATTACAGTTATAGTCTCGAAACGAGTCCATAATAAATGGGTTCTTCGCACGTGAAATACAAACACCATTTCCTTTCGGACCATAAGATCTCCTAATCTATTGATTATTCGCTTAATATTCTGTTGTTTTTGTTGTATTCCTTGAGCTCAACGTTTTTGGAGTGTTTTCGCGATTTCTTTGTCGGTTTTGCTATCAATTAGAGACAAAAAGGACGAGAATTTCTCCTTTGAAGTGATTTATGACATCTCCTCTCACTTGAAATCAGTTATCAAAATATAACTCAAAAATATATATACGACTGAATATAATGTGTGGTATATAAATATAAAATGTATTTTTGTGTAAAAGAAAAATATACTTTAATTGCATTGAATGAGAGATAGAGTAGAAAATATATATTAATAATAATCTCGAAATAATAATCAATTTATAGCACAGACTCTTATAGACAACCATAAAAAGGAAATTTTTAACACAAAATATATGAATTAAATTAATAAGGATTTTGACGTTTAGAGTGCAAATGAGATGTTTGTTAAAATGAGGCGAAAATAGCACCAGAAATAAAGTTGATTGACGAAAGTAAATGAGAAAATACTCGTTAGTTATAAAGAATTGGTAATTAAGGCACAAAAAAGTAATAACCGATTCTTTGATGTTAAACATAGATATCGGGTGTAATAAATTGTTTTGCTTATAAATACCTTACAAAACAACATGCACATTTATTGCATTTGTAATTAACGCTAAATAGTGAGCCATAGATAGGCAGAGATGGTACTCAGAAATGTAATTATTTTTTGTTTTGTGATAATATATTTTACTGTCGATTGTAATTACGAGAGTTATAATAAATTGTTTATCAAAAGTATTTTTTGCGTAATAAATAATTTTTTTGCTCATTTTTCTCTCCGATAATTTCGCACTTGATTTCCAAATGTGTAACAATTTTTTAATTATAAATATTAGTGAATTAATTTTTATATAAACAAAATTATAACTATCATAAGTATTTATGCATATAATCTCTGTGAGAGTTATTATGGAGGTTTTGAATTTATCACTTGCTTTCTAATGCACTCATATTTTCCCTGGTGAGACCTCGAGTGTCGTATAGATAACAGACTTTTTTCAATCACTTTTTTAATGTTTTATATAAATTAAAAGTTTTTACAAAAATTGTGAATTATTTTCTCTAAATTAGGGGCACTTTCACTGCGCTTTCCAAACAAAAATTAACACATTTTTTCGTACTGCGGTTATGACTATCTAAATAAATATAATAAAAAGGGTTATTAGCCCTCAGTTTCAGTACAAACATTTAAGCAAAAAATACTCCACTTTTTCTAGTGCCTCACTATATTTACTGTATTGTAAATAAAAAAGTGCAAATAATATGCTTTAAGAGTCGAGAAAAATATATTTCTTTTACGGCTACAGAAAACCCTAATTATATTTGGTTGGCCTCACAGGCGATGACATGAGATCGGCTTCTGATAGACAGAGCGCTCGGAGTCGGAGCCAAACAAACGCTAAACAGTTTTTTGCGAAGAATTTCTCGTTTTTTTTGGTAGAAATGAAGAAAAATCTTTTTGCAAACTTTAAAATTACATATATTTTTGGCTGTTTTTGGTTCAGATATTAATGCTTTCGAGAGTAGATTTTTCTCCTTCTCGAGAGTCACTTATTATTAGTGGATATGTCTTAAGGTTTTTGTGTTTGACTTTCAGTCGGTGCCAATGCCTACATAATCATCGCCTTTGCCTTCACAACCATTATTACGATCCGCACCACAATCTACTACTACTACTACTTAACCTACCAGTGCCTCCCCTTCTCTCTATCACTCGATGGCCTGTTGTCTGCGATTGTTTGAATCACTTTCAAGACGTCCTGATTGGCCATTAGGCTGTAAAAACATATTTACTCTCCTGAGAGAGAGAGAGAGAGAGAGCACATTTGAAAAGTAAAACTAAGACGAGAGTGTCTTTTAGTATTAGTGGTATTAGTGAGGGATGTGATGGCAGTCCCCTCCACTGCCAGTGCACTGCTATGTTCTGAATGCGGTCTTTGGCTTTGGTTTTAACCCAAAGTATAGTAATCGCCGGCGAATGGCATAAAGAAATTGAGCCCAAATAATACACAAAAGGCATATACACTGAGAGGCTTTGTACTGTACTGTCGTTATTTAGTATTAACTGATTTAAATTATTTGCATCTGGCGCTGGTGGCACTGGTAGTAAAGGCAATTGGACCCCCAATATATATACCAGTGCTCTCTCTCTCTCTCTCTCTACATTTTTTTTAAATTTTAAAGGGAATACGATTTAATTAAACTTGGTCTCATGAGAGCTGTCCTATTTTTTCATCATGATAATTTTTGAATATTACAAATCTCTCTCTCTCTCTCTCTCTCTCTCTCTCAGTCATAGAGTATGCCGTTTCAGATATATGAGGGTAAATGGTTGTGAGCTTCGCATACAGAATACACAGAATAGCCTTATCTGTGCCCAACATTTTACAACCACATTATCTTTTATATCCGTATCGTTAATGCCGTATCGCCAGTGCCTATGCCTTTAGTACAGCACATACACTGTATACGCGCTGTAAGGGCTGGCTGTTTTCATTTCCAAACATTGAGGCAATCTGTGTGATAGTCTACCCAACCATTTCGCTATTTGCACCAAATGTTTATACGGCTAATCAAACTTTTTCTGCTTAAATAAAGTGGAGTCTCACTGTTGTGACTCTCAATTGTTTGCCCTATCGTTAAGTTTTTATGACTCTCTCTCTCTCTCTCTCTCTCTCTCTCTCTCTCTCTCCAACTCTAGCCATAACATGTATCGCATATAATATATACACAAATATTTTTATTCCAACTCTAAATGCGTTCACTTTTTTCAAACTAATTTCTAACTTCATATATAAATTGCTCCCAATTTTATCCGTCATATCATTGTTAGGGAGAAAATTAATGACTTTCGAGAAGTTTTAAATTAATAACACTTTTGAATGTTTGCGTTGCCGTCAGAACTGTAAGAGGAAAACACGTTTAAAGAGCCCATAGTTTGGCCGTTTTGTGAGTCCAGTTATGCCCCCAACGAGACAATAAAGTGTTAAAATGTAATGAAAAACATGTTTTAATATGCAGTACTTGAAAAGCGATTACAAACTCGAGATACGAGTGAATTATTATAACACAAAAATATAAGTCTCATCTCATGGCATGTATGCGCTGGTGTTTTTGTGGGCCGACACACATGAACATAGAGTACAACTATGGGTGAGAGATAAGAAGTAAACTACTAATTGCTTAGAGTATGGAAGGGAAAGGCGGGGGTCACTAGCAATGATGAATGGCTACGGCATATAAACATGCTTTCCAGTGCACATCGGGACAGAAAAAATGTTCAACAGATATATACTCCACAAACACAAGAGAGTGTATACGAGAGATAGTTTTTGGCCTCAAGAGTAGTGGGGAGTCTCCGACGACTGGCTAAACTTCAGTGGAAAAAAAGTTTTGCACTGTTTTGTGAATCGAGTGTACAGTGAAGTCATTTCTCGCTCATAGACTTATGGTGTGAATATATCTGTCAAATAGGAATTCAATTGAGAATAAGTTATTGTTTTTTGAGGAATGCGTTCAACACTACCGTATGACAGGCCCTGCGATATAGCCAACTGTGCCCTCCAGACACACACCGAAAACGATATTTAATCCGAGAATATATTAATAGTCATAAATAATCATAAAACGTAATGAAATGTAATTGCGCTTAAGAGTGGCAAACGGCGGGTTAAATGTTATGATCGCCAGCGACTACCTATTGTTTTACGATATATTGTGTGCCACTCACTGGCAGTCTCACCGGTGTATTCCTATTGTCAATTGTATTGTGTATACACTTTATCGCCCATAAGAGTAGTAAAACTTGAAAAAGCATTTCGTTTCGCATTCCTCTCTATCCTCTCTTCGCTGTTGACTTTCCTATGAATACGTATGGTGTGTATGAGGAGCACCCGCCTCGCCGGTAGTAATTGGCCCTCTGAGCCGCTCACTCAAGCCTCTGAGCGCTCTCTCTATTTGCGTCGGCTCTTCACTCATACCAGTGATAGTTAGCTGAGGAGACAGGCTGTCGGCCCGGAATCCCTGTGTGCACAGAGAGCACAGCCAGTCAGTTGTGTTTGAGAGGCCAGTGGAGTAGGAGCTCACAAACTCCAGTTCCTCGCAGATTCTCTCCAGTTCTTCCACATACTTGTGTACATTCATAAACTTCTTGCGAATACCTCTCTCACAGACCTACCAGTGCTCTGATATACCAGTCGACGCACGCGTTTGTTTTCACTACAATTTTTATCTCTCAAATGTTGACAACGAAAAAAGTTTTTTCAATATTCCGTTTGGTTTATGTTTTTTGATGTGATTTTATTAATTAGTAAATGATTTGACGGGAAAAATGTTTTTCAAAATGTGTTTTCATAACAAAAACGATACAAACTTTTTCCACTTATCTATCATTTGATAAGAAAACACTTGAGTTTTATTTATAAATCGCTATACATTTTGGGCGACTTTTATGAATCAAACAGACATTAATTACTTCTTCTAATCTCGACATCAGACTACTTGTTCCCATCAATTGGTGACAAACGGTGTCCGCGCCTATCCATCCCATCGCATACACTATGGCATCGTCTGTGATAATACTTGTGGTGTGTCTTCATCTCATGGGATCACTGGTCGAGGGCCTGGAGGGCCGTAAGTCCAAGTGCGAGCGCATCACTATACCCATGTGTCAGGACATGCCCTACAACTTGACACGTATGCCGAACCTTATGGGCCATAAGGACCAGTCGGAGGCCGCCATCCAAGTCCACGAATTCATACCACTCGTGGAGATCGGCTGCTCCAAGAACCTCAAGTTCTTCCTGTGCTCCCTATACGCGCCGATGTGTACGGAACAGATTGATATACCCATCCCCTCGTGTCAGTCCATCTGCGAGGAGGTCAAGTCGCGGTGCCTACCGGTGCTGCGACAGTTCAACTTTAATTGGCCCCATATGTTGAACTGCAGTCGACTGCCGGTGCCGAAGGACGGCCTGTGTATGGAAGTGCCGAACATCACCGACTCGAAGGCCCACAAACATCACGGGTCGTCCAGTTTTTTATCGCCATCGCCGGCCTCATCGCTGCCCTCAAAGCATACGGACATTAAGGGGAACACCGAAAGGGAGAGCAAAGACATACTGAACTCCATTGAGAAGATGTATCCCTTTTTGTTCCCTCAGCGGCGCGACGACATGACAGCCCAGTCCTCGTACAACCCGTCCGCCAAACCGTCCATACATTTGGACGCCTTTGAGATGAGCTATCATTTGAATACTGATAACTCGTACGGCGGAGGGAATGGGAAGCCGTCGAAAAGCGGTAGCAAATGCTTCTCAGACTTCGTGTATATCCCGATCGCCGGCCAAAACTTCAACCAAAGCCAAGCCGTATGTGCGCCGAAGTGTGGGAAAGACATACTGTTCACCAGAAACGACAAGAACTTTGTGGAGATCTGGATGTGCATCTGGGCATCCATATGCTTCATGTCGACCCTGTTCACAGTACTCACCTTCTGGATCGACTGCCAACGGTTCCGGTATCCCGAGAAGCCCATCATCTTCCTGTCGATGTGCTTCTGCATCTCAAGCGTGGCGTATCTGATCCGCATATACGCCGGCCCCGAGTTTGTGTCGTGCGACCGGAGCGACTCCGGCGAAGATCACATCACTCTCGAGGGTCTGGACAACTCGGGCTGTATTATAGTGTTTCTGTTGCTGTACTACTTCGGTATGGCGGCCACCATGTGGTGGGTGTGTCTCACCATCACCTGGTACTTGGCGTCCGTCAAGAAGTGGGCGCACGAAGCCATCGAAGCCAAAGCTAGTATATTTCATCTGATGTCTTGGGCCACACCGGCTATACTGACAATAATTGTGCTGACATTACGGCACGTGGACGGGGATGAGCTGACCGGCCTGTGCTATGTGGGCCACCACTCGCCCAACGCATTGCTCTACTTTGTGATAATACCTCTCTCTGTGTTCTCGACAATCGCTGTATTAGTGTTGATAATCGGCTTCATATCACTCGCGCGGAACCGATCGGACATCCGCTTCGACGGCCACCACAACACTAATAAGTTGGACAGACTTATGATGAGGATCGGCGTGTTCACCACAATCTACACACTCCCAGCCCTGTGTGTCATATGTTGCCATATCTATGAGTACATGAAGAGCAGGGAATGGCTGGAGGCGGCGCTGGACAGGTCTCGCGTGTGTCACGACACCAACGATGTCAACGCCTGTCGACTCGCCGACAGTATACCACATAAGGAGGTATTCGTGCTGAAGATATTCATGTCGCTGGTGTTGGGCATATCCACCGGCATATGGGTCTGGAGTAATAAGACGTGGAGCTCGTGGACCCGATTCTGTCAGTCGACGTTTGGTAGGCGCCAGCGTCGGAACTTTAAGTGCCCCCAAGTGCTCCATAATACCCAGTACATTCAGGTGCAACAGCAGCACCTGACCCCCTCGTCCAGTGTCACCTCCACGGCTATCGTGAATGTACCGCATAATCAAATTTTACGGCAACAACCGTACCATCACTCGTACGCATCCATCAAAAGTCAACGCCATTCACACCGTCCGCACCGCAAACACCGAACCAATAACTCCATCACTAATGTCTAATGTGTTTATAAACTAATGTTTTTTAATAATTTATATATAAATAGATTTAAAAGAGATTATAAATATTTGTAAAAGAATTTTTTCATAAAGAATTTACTCATATGTATATGTATTATATTGTACAGCGATATTAAGTTTTATATCATATTCTGTTTTCTATTATATAATATAGTTATGATCTGTTATTTTGGGACAAAAATACCATTATTTAATTTAGTACTCACACTATCGCAGAGAGAAACGACTATTGAATGAAAATTATGTAACTTATTACTACTGTACTGTATTTGCATACATAGTATGCAATAAACAATGAATAGTGGTGTTCATTATCCTGTAATGAATGCCTATTCTGTGAGCAGTGAAAGCAAATAATAAATTAAAATATAAGCGAATTATTACTATGAATGCCTTATTTGTATAAACATATTGTCGTATAATTCTCGGTACAAATGGCAATGGAGTCTAACATTACATACTGTGCCTAATAGGAGCGGATGCCGGGAGTCGTTTCACTGCAGAATACCAGTGCTGCACAAGAATTTCCATTAAAAGTTTGTTTTGATCCCATCCGGGGTTCAGACGTACGCTTGAATGCAGATACAGAGTAATAGAGTAATAGCTAAATGACATTAGTTTTTAAAATAGCATTTTCTATGGCTTTCACTGTTTCTACGACTCTATGTTCTCTCTCTCTCTCTCTCTCTCTCTCTCTCTCTCTCTCGACGCTGGGCTCAACTGATCTGGTCTTCACTGGTGATGGCAGTGAGGTTTGGGTGTCTCGGCTCATAAGACAACATCAAAGGCAAGCACTTCTTGTGCGCTAAAAACGTAAAAAGCTTTTTGCGAGCAAAGATTGTGTCGGCTCTACGTTTGGCACAAAGCCATCACTCGCTGAGAGAGAGAGAGAGAGAGAGAGAGAGAGAGATCCACAAGCAAATCGCCAGATCTATGACTCCGACTGTATGTATGGCTCTCTCAGGAGGTGGAGGTGTGCAGCAGAGCGTGAGTCAGATGCAGTCAACCACCAAATCCTGACTACCAGTGCCGATACACACCTAACCGATCGCAACACAGAAAAACATATCGCCTATGAATAGCCCAATGAATGCCATGAATGGGACCATTATTCTCGATATATGAGAGATATTTACCAAAAATGTTGTAAATTCTATACAAAAAGCGTCGACTCTTTATGCACACGAGAGAGAGAGAGAGAGAGAGAGAGAGAGAGAGAGAGAGAGTGGGGAAAGGGAACTACACTCTCAGTTACTTAGCTTTTAACAACCGGTACGACAATCGCCAATAATAATAACATTACAGAATTGCGAGAGGATTAGTCATATTTTTTTCTGTACCACCGATTTGAGGGAATTTTAATGTTATTATAATCGCACACAAAAAAAACTAGTATTCAATCGGGTCTTAGAGCGCAACCACCGCAACAACAACGCGAAGAAAAGTGATGTGTCTTTCCCCTCCACTTTCATATCGCTATGAAAAGGATAGTTATTATTAATATTTGAAAAAATAAGAGTCATTACGACATGAAATGCATAAAAAGTTATATAAGAAAGGTTGCTAAGAGTGTAACTTTTGTGTGTGTGGGGGTCGGGAGGAAAGCATATTTTTTTCGGTGGTCGGCACCGCTGATAGGGAACAAAGGCTGACATCAAAACTATCACTTCTAATCTGTATTGAGTGAGGGCTCAGCCAAATGCGCTCAACATTTAAATAACGAGCCGTAGAGATGCCTTTCAAGAAAGTGCACACTAATCTATGAGAGCACCGGCATCTAAAAAGCTAACTTGCCTCCGGCCTATCGAGACATTTATACATAAGAATTATATAAGAAATAAGCAAAAAAAATCACCAAAAATTTCTCAAAATACATCGTCTAATGTGTTATTTGGCGTTCAAAATAGGGAAGGCATGCGATATACACGTCCCCGGCCTTGGCTTTTGATGGATCGTATGGATAGGATCGGGGTCTGTGTTGTAGATGTGATGGCTAGAGATGTGCCATAGCATAGGTGCATATCGTGAAGGTTCGGCCCCATTAGTGATAATCATAATATGTTACTCAATATGAATAGCATAACTATTTTATATTATATACGAGTCTCTCTCTCTCTCTCTCTTTCATACCTTTTACTGTCTATCTTTCAATATTAAGGTTCCTTTGCCCTCATCTCCACAACAGAGTCACACCTTTTATATAATGGGATCTATTTTCTCCACCAGAACTCCTTTTCCAATCATATAATTACTGATTGAATGGATAGCACTCACACTCTCACTGGTGTTTGCGAGTAGAAAATGTGTTATCAATCAGTCATTGTATTTAAGAGATAACCACTAGAAATGTGTGTTTCTTAATCATCTCGCAAAAAGGGATCTTGTTTTGCAATCTGTGTATAAAATTAATAGACTTTCGCTTCACATCTTATTACATATTAGTTATAAGTAATGCGAGTTTTATGCAAAAAACACATCAAATTCATATATTTTAAAACTCACGGCACGAAAGAGATTAACCGCAAAATTATTTGTTTTAATTCAATCGAAATGCTAAATTCAAAAGTGATTAGTAGCCAAAAATTGCCGACAAAAAACACCATGAGCCAAACAGACAATCATTCTAGCTATTAACTAGTCTGATGAAAATAAAATGCAATTTCTAAGGCGTTTCCATTAGGAATTCAATGCGAAAAAAGTATTTCTCATTAATTCTCAGCCCTTTTCTCTCTCCATATTATAAGACATTATAAGCCATTAATTCACTCTTAACTCTAGCCCTACCGAAAATACAGGGCCTCAGAAATGGTGTCTAATTATTGTCGCCAATTCTAACACTAACTACTATTTTACGCTAATATCTAATGATAATCTTATTATCAAATATATTATATACAAGTTTTGGGCCGTAAATCAGGTTCCCATCAGACAAACTAATTAGCCGTAAAAAGAGTTTTGACTTTGAATTGCCATTTTTCATATCACATGTAATTAAGTTTAAGTATAGTTTTCGCTCCCCTTTTTTGATGCATAACTTTTATGACATAAAAGGATTTTCCGCTAATATAAAAATATAATAATTGAATAATTTTATGTTGGAAATTTTATTCATAAAACAAAAATACGTATACTTATAAAGTTTATAAATTATAAATGATTAATAAATTTTCCGAAAATACTGTTTGAAATATATCGATAAATGTCTGCGAGAAATTATGATAAAAATGAGTTTATTTGACAAAATATAAATAAGTACATGTCCCATAAATTATTTATTGCTTTTTATTATAATAATAATAAATTTTAATTTTATTAAATTACAGTCTGAATAGAAAATTAAGTTTACTTTTCAAACTTTAAGTTTTTGACTTATTTGTTACACACAGTAAATACTGGTCAATGGAAATAAGGTGTGAAACTTATAATTCACTTCTGGATGACAAGTGGCCCGACATTATCGGACATGTGTTTGTTGTATAGGGTGTGCGCGCCGTCACAATAGGGGAACTTCTTTGACCGCCAGCACCGACAGAACGCAGCCTTTGGGCCCAAGTTCTCGATGTCTATGACGTCCACCACTCGGTCCGACTCCTTCTTAATGCCCGGATTGACACATGGCTTCACATCTGCGCTCACTTTATGGTCGGGAGTCTTGAGTTTCAAATAAACGGCATAACCCACTGCGATGGCTGTCCCTATCCATGGGGCAAATACCAGGGAATTGTAGGCCTCGTCCATTAGTATGTGTATAATAATTATTTTAATTGATAACTTATTTAAATATATGGACAATGTTTGAGATATTTGCTAATTATGTATAGATATTCAATTAATATCTTACTAAATAATAAATTTTAGTACTTTTGTAATTAAAAATTTATGATTCATTATATTAAATAATAAAAGTTTAGATATTGTAAAACCTGTTTAGCATGTTCCCTTTACTTTCAAAATATATAATACAAATCATTGATTGAATTTTGCAAATCATATTTACAGTGGAGACTACAATAGACAAAAACAAACACTAATCATAATAATAAATATTTTTATTTTAATGTTCGGCTCGCTTTTGAATATTATTATTAACTTTCAATAAAATGTATTTATTTGTATTCAGTGGTGCGTAAACTAATATTATATTTCCAGACAAAGCAAAATTACTTTTACCATAATATTCAATTGGGAAAAGGGTTTGCAAAGTTATGTCTTTGAACTGGTCCCACAAAAATAATAATCATTTTCAATGTATTTCGTATTTGAATGAGATATGAATTTCTCAACAAAAAAGTTTGCTTAAAATTCTCACAATACCAACAAATAATAATGATTATTTATTTTAGTTATTTTATTTTTTTGCTTTGAGCACTAATTTCGGTAGACTTTTACTAATATAACAAAATATTTACCATTCGCTCGACTCGTCACTAATTGAATAGATTTTTGCAAAAACACATAAATTCAATGTTTCCACAAAAATAACTGACAATACAATAGGCAAACATTCCCAATGTTTTATATTATGCACCAAATGAACAGAGAAAAGCAATAAAACTGTTTTTATTATTAGTTTAGCTCAAAGTTATGTTTTAAAACTGAACCTGGAAGATTGAAAAGCAATTAAACCATTTGAGTTATTTTAGTGCCACAACCCATACAATGGCATTCAATGGCAAAAAAGGGTTTAAAAACTTTAAACTGTGTTTATATTATTCTTGTATTTTAAACTAATACTGTATTACTTCACTACAAATAAACTTTAAAAACTTTTAAACCATCGACTTTTCTCTGGCAAAAAAATCCGATTTCTATTTTTAATCAATTATTTTCTCCGATCCATTAATTTAAACTGATTTCTATCCCTAAAGTAATGTTAATTTTCTTTTAATGTTTGGGAATTTAATGTCAAAAATTATTATTAGTCAGCTATTTGTGGGCAAAAATCGAGTCCTGACTAATACTTTTACGTAAGAAATATTTGCAAAATTATATAATCAGATAATAAACGGTAAGAATCTTAAGCCGATATGCAATCCCCTAAGCATTTGGTTCATTAAATTTCATCAAAAATATAAAATTCTTATCAAAAATCGATTTCTCTTTTATATATAAATATCAAAAGCATTTCAGGAATTCTTTCACAAATGAAATGCATTTCTCCTGATATTTCGTACAAAAGAGACTCCAATACCTCAGTCTATAGACTAATAAAAATTCAATAAAAAAAACTCAAAGATTTCTAAAGAGAGAGGAATCCATCAAAATATATGTGAGTTTTGATTAAATGTAAGTATATTTTTAATTGGAAAGTCTATTCAATAGATATTTTTGGATTCAATTTAATGTACATATATATAAATATTTTCGTCAAATCTTTATACACTGGGAAATGATAGACAGGTCTTTTTCACTCTGAGCGAGATATTCATGTTAATGGTTGAGGGCCAGGGCTATTTATAAATACTTTATACTAGCGCATTGGGAATACATGTATTTATGAATGCATTTGGCGAGTAATGCCATAATTAAAGTGCCGCCAAATGTAATCATTGCCCGTAATTGAAGTCAACATAACAAATACTATTCGTATATAAATACTTGCAAAAATTAATTACTGTCGAAAAAAATCTTTGTATTCAAACGATAGGCGCAGTGATTGCGTAACCAAACCTGAAATCTTTATTTATTTTTTTAAAACTTTTTTTATATTTCACTTCTTTTTAAAACATTTCTCTCGCATTGGATTCGTCGGCTAATTATTAAAGTTTTTACAGCTTTTCTTCGCTAATGTATACACTATTCTCTCCCCGACTCTCTCTCTCTTTCATACCTTTTACTGTCTATCTTTCAATATTAAGGTTCCNGATGGATTCCTCTCTCTCTCTCTCTCTCTCTCTCCTTCGCTCTCTTATCTAAACTCAATACAGATGTCAACCGTTTAGTTCGCCTCCAAGTGTTTCCGTTCGCCCCAAAGGCTATCCATAGCTCGTCGTCTCCTTTCACTTCTTCAGAGATTAACTTATATTCACTTCTAATGCATAAAACCCTCTGATTTTCATCGCTTTTTTGTGTGCCTTTTGCTGCGGACGCTCACAACACACTGTCTGCCATTATATCGCAAACAAAAAAGGACACAAAGTTTGTGGTGGTTTTCCAACAGAAAAAAAAACTTTTTCCAAACACTGTTACAACCATTTCTAAGAAGATTACCCGAAAAAATCATTTCACACACAATGGGGTCGATGGATGCGATTGTAAGCCCATACAAAATTCCTGGGGATTTGTAGCCACCAAACCCTCTGGTCATCCCAACCCGCTTAGGGACGACCCTATCAAAAGGCGGCCGACTTTTCTACTTATACTTAAAATAGATTTTTAGTTTTTTACAGCAAAACTCTTTTATGAGATTATATGATAAGAGTCTCATCTCTTTTATATGACTCGCAGTTAAAAATATTTTTTTTGACTAATTCTTAGCTTAGATTTCTATTTAAAAAAAGTTCACTCGATATGTATGTGTGCGGCTGTAAGCCCTCCCGGAGTCCAAATGATTTTAATCAGATTAAATATGTATCAATAATTTCTTGAAACTAGCAATTCTGCATATATTATACGAGTATTTAATTTGTATTTCATTAGCGTTTAATTTTTGTTGGGAAATGTCTTAAAATTATTTATATTAATTTTTGTTTTAATAATTTACTGCTAAAAAACAGTGGATAAGAGTTGTGTGAATATCACGTATTAATTAAATATGAGTTTTAGACACCACTCCAGCGAACGGCATATCATTAATAAACACTTTTCGCTTTTCATAACCCATTAAAAAATAAAAGTGAAATCATTTTTAACTTTTAAAACTCACAAAAAGTATTTAAAAATCTCTAACTCGTGTAATTAATGTCAATAATTATCACATTTCGTGACTAAATGATCGCTAAGTGTTGTGAACTTTAAGCCAAAAAACTTATTTTTATTTAAAAATTTTTAAGTAAAATATATATATATTTGAATAAGTTTTAAATTAAATACAATTAATAAAACTCAAGAATATTTAACACCAAAATTAATCTCATAGTCATGTGTTGAATATTAACAGTATTATCTAATCCATGTCCAATTATCACCATATTTCCGTTGGATAACCCTAGTATAAACCAAAATATCTAACCATTTAATTATTTTTACCACTTCTTGGGACAATTGAATCAAACAAATCACCACTAAATCCACACAATTACCAAATGGACGCCAATTCTGGACGTTATTTATGCACAGAATATGCGGTCAATTGTTGACACATTTTGTGTGTATTTTTCACTTTCACTGCAATTGAGTCCCAATTGTCACCACAACTAGTGCTCAAGACATGAACAAAAAGGAAACGTATGTATCATATTGTATCCACCCGTGTCCTCCCTGTCCACCACCACCCGTACCACTCGTCTATCGCTGCAAATACACTCATCCCATGCCCGCCATCCATGTCCACCAATTGTCTCACGATATCAATGCCTAATGACGTGTCTCTGATTGGTCTCATAGGGTGGACCTGTCGACCATCCGGTGCCAGAAGTGTCTGGAGATGGGCCACTGGACCTACCAGTGCACCGGTAAACGCAAATACGTTCACCGATTGTCGCGAACGGCGCTCATGAAGAAGCGACTCAAGCGCTCGGAAGAGCTCCAGAAGTTGCAGCTCTTGTAAGACACGCAACCATTCCCGCCATGTCTTCGCCTACCATTTGACTCATCACTGATAATGTGTTTCCGATTTCACGGATTTCTAGAGAGAAACTCAACGAACAGAAGCAGAAGAAGTCGAGCCATTCGTCGGACGACTCGTCTTCAGCCACCAGCGACTCGGAGTCGGACAGCGATGACAGCAGCGGTTCCAGCGATTCCTCGTCGATTGGATCGGACTCGTCGTCGAGCTCTTCATCGGACACGTCTGAATCGGGCTCTTCGTCGACCTCTTCGGACCCATCCGTGTCTGAAGATAGCGATCATAAGTCACGCGACAAACGGCACCGAAAGCGGAGGCGTAAGAGTCGATGAAAATGACCGGACATTCCGTTGCGAACTGTTTTTCGTGTCATTTATTTGCAATTTTTGTCATTAATTTTGTGAATCAATGGTGTTTTGCATTCATTGAGTGCTTATTGAATGGATGTCTTATTCATAACATTTGCCATAAACCCATTCAACCACCACTTCATAGCCTATTATTTTTAATTACATTACAATTCATTATAAATTAGTTTTTCATTTTTATGATTATATTTAGCCTGAAGTTAATCATTAAATAATTGTGTTTAGCATTGGAGTGTAATCTAAATAAAATTGAAGCAATTATTTCAAAAATATTGGAAACTTTATTGAAGAAATTTATTTAAAATTCATGTTTTATTTAACAACAAATAAATTCTTAAATATTTTATACATATTTCTTATCAGCAATAAAACATATAATTTTAGGACAATTAGCGATCAGATTATGAATAGCCTGTTCAGTGCCCTTTAAACCACATCCATAAAAATCAATATACCGTAATCCGGGTAGTTTTGACAATGAGTGCAATACACTGTCCGTTATATCTGTTCCCCTCATCTTTATGTATTGAATGCGAGGCAAGTGTTGCGAGATATTGCGGGTAAAGTCTTCGGCAGTTGTGACACTTCGGTTCCATAAACTGAAATGTGTTCGTCGTTTGCATCCACTCAACCATTCACTGCTAAATACAAACTCTTTGGGATAATCACCAATCAGTTGGAGTCGTTTTAATTGTTTAAAGTTTGCATTCATTGTTTGCATTCATTGTTTGCATTCATTGTTTGCATTCATTGTTTGCATCAATTGAGACATGAGTTCACAGGAATCGATGCGACGACTGAGTGTCACACTCTTCAGTTGACCGCAATTCACACCAATTTGTTTCAATTGATTGCAGTTTACAACACTTTTTACATGTAATGCATAAATATTCAAATCAATCAATTGTGACATTCGTGACAAACCAGTCATCAGTATATCAATGGACTTCTCATGACAACTGTCACTGATATGTACTGTCATTGATTTCATAGTCTTTGCATAGCTTTTGACAAATACTTCAAATGCATTCACGTCTTCATTCGTGTATTTCAAATAAAATGAGTTTAATCTGCGAAACGACACATCAATTGAGGGATTGGTGGACATAGAGTTGGCATAAATCGCAAGTTTTGTCACATTTGTGCAAAGCGTGAGACAATTGTGGACACACTTCCAGATCGCTGTGTTTTCGCGCATAGAATTGGATTCAATTGATTGCAAACTTTTGGCAAACTTTACAAAAAACTTAGCGATTGTGTCGACACTTAAGTCACTGAAAGGGATATAAATATGCTGTAAATTATTGCAATGTTTCACAATTGACTCAAACATTGAGTTATCGATGGATCCAAACAATGGTCCGATTCTTGAGATGTTTTGGCGCTTCTTGAGTATCCATTCATAGGACGACATTTAGTTTGTGGTCATATGTGAAGTCCGTTTGTGTCTTATATACCACTCTCTGCAACTGTTTGGACACACATAAATATCTATAAATCTATAGATTTATAGATTTCTATAAATCTATAGATTTCTATAGATTTATAGATTTCTATAGATTTTTATAGATTTCTATAGATTTCTATAAATCTATAAATTTATAGATTTCTATAGAAATCTATAGATTTAAATCTATAGAAATCTATAAATCTATAAATCTATAGATTTCTATAGAAATCAAGAATATTCTGTGATTTCTCACTATATAGTGTTTTTTACAGAATATTCTGTGAAAAAATACTATATTTTTACAGAATATTCTGTGATTTTTCACTATATAGTGATTTTTCACAGAATATTCTGTAAAAAAAACACTATTTTCACAGAATATTCTGCGAAAAAACACTATAGTGTTTTTTTTGGG